ATATATATATATATATATATATATATATATATATATATATATATATATATATGCACTCTTATTTAGATTCTTTTCCCATATAGATCATTACAGAGTGTTGAGTAGAGTTCCCTGTGTTATACAGTAGGACCTTGTTAGTTATCTGTTTTATATATAGTAGTGTGTATGTGTCACTCCCAATCTCCCAGTTTATCCCTCTCCCCCCTTTTCCCTCCTGGTAACCATAAATTTGTTTCCTACATGCTACACTGGTTCTTTTAATACTGCTCATTGTAAGCTGTTCTTCCCTTAGAATCTGGGAGAATTTTTCTGTTAAAACTGTTACATTATAAAACTGTAAACTTATATTAAAGATGAAAAATGGCGCTCCAAATGAATGTATTAATATAAGGTTTATATATATATAGACCTATGGAATAGATAGCCCAGAAACAACCTTCACATATGAAAATCATATGGTCAAATGATTTTCAACAAGGGTGCTAAGAATATTTAATGGAGAAAGGATGTTGTTTTTCAACAAATGGTGTTGGAAAAACTGGATATCCAGTTTTCATTTCATTTTCAGCCTTTATTCCAAAGAATGAATTTGAACCCTTACCTAATACCATATACAAAAATTAACTCAAAATGGATCAAACACTTAAACATAAGAGCTAAAACTATAAAACTCTTAGGGGAAAACATAGGGTTCTTCATGACATTGGATTTGGCAATATTTCTTGGATGTAACATCAAAAGCACAGGCAACAAAAGAAAAAATGGTTATTTTGGAATGCATCAAAATTAAAACCTTTTGTGCATCAAAGACACTGTCAACAGAGTGAAAAGGCAACCCATGGAATAGAGAAAATATTTGCAAATCATATATCTGAAAAGGGTTAATATCAGAATTACATATAAAGAACTTCTACAACTCAACAGCAAAAAATAAACAGCCTGATTAAAAAATGTGCAAAGGACTTAAATAGACCTTTCTTCAAAGATATGCACATGGCTAATAAGCAAGTGGAAAGATGTCGAACATCACTAATCATTCAGAAAATGCAAATGAAAAGCACAATGAGATAATACTTCACACACAAAAGGATGGCTATTATTAAAAAAACAAACAAACAACATCAAAAAAACAGAAAATAACAAGTGTTGGTGAGGTTGTAGAAAAATTGGAACCCTTGAACACTGTTGGTGGGAATGTAAAATGGTGGTGCACAGTAGAGAAAACAGTATGGAGGCTCCTCAAAAAGTTAAAAATAGGATTACCATATGAGGGGATTCCCTGGCAGTCCAGTGGTTAGGATTCCGTGCTTCCATTGCAGGCGGCATGGGTTCGAACCCTGGTTAGGGAACTAGGATCCTGCATGCTGTGCAGCATGACCAAAATAAATAGAATTCCCATATAATCCAGCAGCTCTGTCTAGATATACACACAAAAGTATTGAAAGCAGGGACACAAACAGATATTTGTATACCCATGTTTATAGCAGCATTATTCACAATAGCCAAAAGGTGAAAGCAACCCAAGGGTCTATTGATGGATAAATGAATAAACAAATGTGATATATCCATACAGGAGACTATTATTCAACCTTAGAAAGGAAGAAAATATTGTCACGTGCTACAACATGATGAACCTTGAAGACATTATGCTAAGTAAAATAAGCTGGGCACAAAAGGACAAATATTGTCCTTATATGACTCCACTTATATGAGGTACCTAGAGTAGTCAGACTCACAGAGACAGAAAAAGAATGGTGGTTGTCAAAGGTAGGATGGAATGGGGAGTTATTGTTCAGTAGGTGTAGAGTTTCATTTTGGGAAGATGAAAAAGTTCTAGATATGGGTGGTGCTGATGGTTGTACAAAAGTGTGTAAAGTGTGTATGCATTTAATGCCACTAAGCTGTACACTTAAAAATGGTTAAAGTGGTAAATTTTAAAATTAAAATTAAATTAATTTAAAAAGAATGTTTGTAGTAGACACAATAGGTTATCTAGCCAACATTTATCATCTCCTTTTATCCTTGTTGGCGGAGTCCCTATTTTGTTTAGGTGTGTAGACCTTGCCTATGTGACTTAGGGTGGGGACCCTGTCCCAAGTTCAGCTATAAATTCTGATTGACTGCAACAAATCAGGATTACTTTCATTACACTGCTGGTGTGTGTGTGTGTTTTATGTATATGTGCAGTAATGTGTATTATAATATTGTTTATAAAAGCTAAGTATTGGGAAACAAAACACCTAAGTGTCTCTCAGTAGGAGGAGACTGGTTTTAGAAATCCTTGCACAAATGAGAGAGTGGTCTGTAAAAATCTCTGCAAAAATAGTATATCTCTATATTTATTAACATGGACAGATGGTCATATTGTTGAATTTTTTAAAACGTTCCCAAACAGCAGTATATAGCATTGAGGAGTGAAACTGGAGAGAGAGAGAGAGAGAGAATGGGTAGAAGGATTGAGAACAGGAGAAACTGGTGGGTTTTTTTAAGGCAAAATATTTTTTAAGATAGATATTTTTGGTCAGTGAGATGGGAAAGGAAGTGAACTGGGAGATTTCTGGGCAAGGTTTTCTTGCTCTCAAGGAGCATATACCAGAAAATACCGTCCCATTTTCTTCTAATGAATATTGTGCCTGAATGTGGCACCTTGAACTATGCATGAAGAAAACCAGCTCCGGGATGAAGTAGCTGCTGAGTCCAGTAGGGTGGAGAAATGGAAGGAACCTGAGGCCTTGATAAGATCCTTGTTCTGCTGAGCATATTGGGCATGGAGCCTTTCCCTCTGAACTTGTTTAATGTGAGGTGATCTATTTCCTTCCTTGTTTAAACCAGTTTGAGTTGAGGTTCTGTTCCTTGCAGTCAGAAACATCCTAGCTGAAATGAGACATTTCAGAAAGGTAAACTGTTCCCACAGAATTAGCTTTTCTAGTTTGAGGAAGTTATTTTAAACTTGAGTCAGGCTTAGGTTAAATGTCACAGTGGTGTCATTTTACCTTTTATTCATGATTTGCTGTCTCCTTTTATGGGTCTACTTTTGAAGTCATCATGTTTATTATTCTAGAATTGTAAAGTGTACAGTACAATCGACTGGAAATGAATACAAAGTACAAAGTGTTGTTTTTATGGCACTTTTACATTTGGCAAAGTATTTTCTATTTTCCTTGGTTTATGCATTTTTCAAAATACCAGGAACTGTACGTGAAAAACAAAAAAGACGTTTTATGTTTTAAATACATCCTTTAATTATGTACATCTCTTTATTTGAAGAGAATTTTGGAAGGTTT